GTGAGAAAGATTATCCACACGCTCGTTCTCGATTCTCTCACAAACCATAATCATTACGGGTCAATCTTGTCGATTGGACGTCCCAGTAAATTTAACTTCCTGTCAGATTGTGCAATAGAGGAGATGTTGGGCTGTAGTACACAGCACAAAGCAAACACATTAGCAAGAATACTTCAGGAGTCATTTGGATTTGTTTTCTATCCACAGGACACGGGGACCTGACAGGCACCGAGTGGACCATGAAGTCATGAGCATACCAAAGTATCTACCGTCAAATGTGAGGCCAACACGTGTGCTCCACAGCAAAGCCTAGCTAAAACTGGGTCAACAGCACATCCATCTCAAGCTCAGCAGCAAATCTGTAACACAATGGCTGAAAAAAGACAAGACGGTGATGCAGTTGCTGCATTTAAAGTTCAAAACTCTCTGGACTTTTAGATTTCTGTGTATAAACACGTGGCTGCAAACCTCAGTGAACTGAAGGAACTCTGTAAAGAAGACAAAAGTCCTCCACAATGATGTGTTTCCTTTGTGTTACTGCTGTTAAAGGTTGTTCTGCTAAATTCTACTAAGGCGCAGAATCAGAAGACACTACCTGGTTGTCTGTGAGGTGCAGTATTGTCTTTTTATAGGAGATTACGTCAAAGTCCAGAGCCTTCCACACAGCATGGCCCAGCAGATCTCCCACCTTCCTCTTCTTTGTGATGACAACCAGGTACATGCCTTCCAGAAAAAGGAGAAAGCAGAGCAAAAATGCACTGGATTATCCAACTTCCAATATTTCACAGTAAAATAATGTATCTCCATACTGTGTGCATGCTGATCTTACCTGCCACTAAGCGTATAGTTCCCATCAGTCCACATATTGGCCTGGTCTCAGCTGATGCAGGGACATCCTGTCTCACTGAGAAGGGCGACAGGGACACAACAATGGTTTTTATGGACACAGGAAATATATCTGTAACATCATCGAAGCTGGGATTATAACTAAGGAGGCCATCTATTATCGTTTCATGATCTACTCTCCAGACTTACTGCAGCCCAACAGAGAAAAGAAATCAACTGAAGATCAGAGAAAATCTTGGCACTCCCACAATTTCAGCCCACGCCAAAAAAGAAATAACAAAACAATAACAAATAAGAAGGAAAGTACCCTCAAACGTGTTTAACACTTAGCCACACATTGTCTTCAGAATCAAAATACTCTGTGGATGTTATGTGGTCACATATCTTATGTACGCAAACGCGCGGTCCAACTTCTTATCTGGTGCACGTCTTTTATTTTGACAGCGAACGCGCACCACTTATGTGCAGCCCATTTATACAAGCGCTTTTAACTATGCTTTAAATCAAACATTCACACTCTGATGGATCAGAGAGCAACTTGGGGTTACTATCGTGCTCAAGGATGTTTAGCATGCAGACGGGAAATCTAAATCACTATCTGCCAAATCAACTAAATTTAATGGGAGATGTTTTTGTTTCATTTTTTATAAGATCTAGAAAACATTTCCTATTTTAATGTTCACACAAAATACAGTTTAGCTAGATATACTGAAGTGTTACTTAAAGTGTCTTTCTTATTGTATTTTTATATGTTTTTATTGTACTTTTTATATTCCTGTTGTACAGCACTTTGGTCGGCCATGTGTTGTTTAATAAATTGCTTTATAAATAAACTATGGCTCAAATCAGAATCAGAATACTTTATTGATCTCTAGGGGAAATTAACAGTGCTCCAGTCCAAACAGTAACAAAAACAGACAATACAGGAAGTAAGAAATAGCACAATAAAAAGTGTCTATCAAGACTGGCAAAAAAATATTTTGAATTTTATAAACTTTCTTTAATTCCATATTTAAATAACAATAAACTTAAATGCCATTTTGAGCTGCAGCTCAGCATGTGGAGCCGATCATCTGCTACCTGTGCTTCAGTCTACATGCCAAATATCCTTAGGCAAGGTAGCGACCCGGGCTGCAGTGACTGTTAGATGGAAAGCGCTTACACAGAAACAGCTGCGGGGTGAATGAGGCAGGTTGTGTAAAGTGCTTTGGCTGCTCAGGCAGAGCAGAGCTGTCCATTCACCATAACGAGCAGAGGTTTTCTTTGGGCTTTTCATTAAAGGTTTAAATGGTCTCAGTCGTTTGTTTTCTTCTACATTTTTAGACAGCGGGGGGGGCGTGGCAGGGGGCGTGTCCATTTGCTTACCTGTTAGAGTCATCTCAGTTGACACCCTGTCAATAGCCAGGACATCCACGGAGCCATCATCACAAGCTTCTATGTAAAACTTCTCTGGTGTGGTGCGCCTGATGCGAAAGACAAGACCCGGTTTAAAAGCCACCATGAGCCCGTGGGCAGCTCACATTAACAGCGCCGAAGGAGCCGGTTACTGCTCTGGAACATGGCTCCATCACATCTTCTAACCTCGCTTAGAAGCTCAGTTACTAAGTTGCGTTTGCTCGCGTCCATATTTAAATGTGTTATTTAAATGTGATTAGAAACAACTGAAATAGTTTAAAAAAACAAAACAAGTTGGGATAAAACGGACGTTAGCGTCAGCTCCTCGACAATTAACGAGAAGCTGACGGAACGTAACTCAAACGTGTCGCTGTAGTTACACTCCTACTAAAGACGGGCACGCCTCTCCACGCAGCGTGGACCGTAAACCAGGCTGTGTGATGTTACTGTTTCGTTCTGCAGCACTTACAAGCTGAAACTCTGGAAGGTGTTCGCCATCTTTGCTCCCGAAATCTCAGTGACGTCAGGCTACTTCCGCCGTCAGCTGTGAGCGCGCGAGCGTTTGTTCCACCTGCAGCGTGAGCGAGCTCCACGTGCGGCCGGACACCGGAACAACACGGTTCTGTAGAACAATAAGCAGCATTGGTTAAAATGCCATCTTTACATTTCCAGTAAGGC